ACACGCCCTCCTTAAATGACTCGGCGTGCATTCCTGTAGAATCCCCGTCCTCCTGTCCACCAGAAAAGCAAGTCCTGAGCTCACACACATGGCGGGCTCACCAAGGCAGGGACTGGGCTCCAGCTAAAAGTTACTGCAAATTTAAAGACATTATTAAGGGTTAATATTTTAAAATCTAGTAGTTAAAGTTGAAAGGAAGAGAGTTACTGATTTGCAGGTTAAAATGCTTGGCATGCTTTGAAATGAAGCCAGCTGATACTTAATTTCATCCAGTAGCAGGAACATGAAGGATACTGTACAAGCTTTTGTTACGGGTCCATCGAAGGCTTAAAAACATTTAAACCTATGGTTTAAAAGGCTTAAACTTAAAAGAGGTTCCATGTAAAACACTTGTGGTCATGGAAAAAAGTTGGGTGATTTCAAGATGCTAATTTCCATCAGTAGAAGGGCTGGTACACCACATGGCCTGAGCCGGGCAGGGGCGGGGCTGCCAGGGGCGGCTGGCCGCCACCTTCTGCCACCGGCCAGCGGGGCCCCGTCTTTTCCGGGAGGGTGACATCCGTGTGGACACTCAGCAACTCCCTCTCTCACTAACCAGGAGCTCACGCAAAAGCATTTATTCACAAGGCTGTCACGAGATGAGGTCTAACCTTCAGCCCGCGCTCGGTCTCTGACACACTTCTGGTCTGAACCTGAGATTCCGCCGGCCCAGGAGGACGGGCTGAAAGGCAGGTCCGCTGGAGCTGCACCGCCCCAGGAGCCCCAGGGGACTCCACTCTCTCTGCAGACCCTGTGTTCCCGCGCTAACCTCCCCCCAGTCCAGACCCCCGTTGGGCAGCCAGGGGACCCTTCTCTCGCGCGCACCATCCGGTCAGCACCAGAGAACATGCTGCTCTGACCCTGCTTTCTGTCCGGACGTCTCTCAGAGGTGCTTCCACTTCCTGGAGAACATGCCTGCTCTTCGCCACAGCTGCAAGCCAGCCGCCTGATAGCCTTATCATAACCCATTTAACTGCGCTTTATGTTAGATTCAAATCGGCATGCTATTGCACAGGAATAGGCTTGCCTCCACCCTCACTTCCAAAAAAAAAAAGAAAAGTTATTTTGGATTTTTAAATCTTGTCTTGCTTTTGTTCCATGGCTCTAGCTAGGCACAGCTGATCATTTGAGCATAATTATTTGGTCCTTGAGTTTGATCCAAAATCAAAGCCTGTCATCTGTCTATTGTGAACAATACTGTATTCTATTTTTCATTTCTATGTTTTCAGCAAGTGTTTACTAAGCATCTATTATATGTCTTTCTCTTGGCACCCACTAGGTATCAAGTGGAGGTGGCAGGGCGGGGGGAAGGTTTTTAAAACATCACCAGCGTGCCTTAGGGGCTTAGACTGTCATTGACAAGGCAACAGAGAAAGGGTGCAGGACAGAGCTGACCAGATGTCCAAAGAGCAGCTGCATGAGTTTAGATGTTTCTAGGTAAGTCAGTAAAAAATTTTAAAAATTTTAAAAATTAAGATCGCTGCTGTTTTGGCCAGAATTATTTACGTTCACATGCAGACTCTGTCATAACTGTCCACACAGTCCTGGGCAACTTCTCTGCAACTTCTCTGGGCCTGTTTCTCTTCCTCCTGCTTCACGGGGTCGCTAAGAGGGGTGAATGAGACCATGCACGTCTCTCCCCAAGAGGTGAGGCCGCAGGGGACACCGCAGGGGTGTGGGCAGGGGACACAGCCCATCCTGGCCTCTGGGAGCCAGACAGCCCCCTCGATGGAGCAGAAGGGGGTGATCGGGGTGGGAGGGGAAGGGCCCAGAACCGTGCCGGCGGAGATTGTCAGGGAGGTCTCCTGGGGGCAGGATGCCTGAGAGGCCCTTCGGTGACAGCCAGGGGACATGAGAGCTGAGTCCAGGGCGGCTTCTCAACCCCCCACGCCCCGCGTCCCTGCAGCAGAGGAGGGAGCCACCCGAGGGAGACACTCTTGTGCCTCCGAGGGGAGCTCTGATGTCAAACGCTGGGGATCTTTAGCCTGTTTTTACAGAAAATGAAGTGAAATCAAAGGAGGCTTAACTTACGAAACCACCATCCCCTGAGTAACATTCACCTTTAAATCACCAAATTACGCCTATGACATTTTAATTCTGATGAATCGACTATTTTACAAGTTCTTAGACTTTTTGTATTTCTAATTCGAACAGGAAGTGCAGGAGGGTGGACATAAGTAGCAACTGAACTGTTGCTGATAAAATTACATGTAGCAGGTGCTTTCTGATTACAATTCTTGAAGACATTAATTTGGTAATACAGTAGAAAATAACTCTCCCATCAAGGAAAGAAGAGGCTATTGATTTAACGTCCCGGATGATTCTTAGGGAATTTTTTTCATTCGCTCTATTTTTAAAAATTTTTTTTTTTATTTTTTAAATATGCTTTTGATTCACTGGTGTCCCATCACCTCTAACACGGGCAAGTCTCTCTCCCCCTTGGTTCTGTGGTGTCACTGAAAGAAACACATCTGACCCTGGGCTCAGATATTGACACTCCAACAGACGCCAAGTGGAAGGCTCCAGATGGGTGAGTATAAGCGAGCATGCCGGCCACCACCGTAACAACGGGAACGCTGCCTCACTGAACTCGGGCAGATGCGTGGCGGGTTGCAGCCTGCACGGTCGGCTCCATGTCTGTGACGTTGCTGAGAAGGTCAGTTCACAGTGCCCCTGAGTTGGAAGGCATCTGAAGAGTGCTGCTGGGTATTTTATGGTAAGGTAGCTAAAGGTCTTGCTTTAGTAAAATAAAATCTACCGACTATTTTAGTTTGCAGAAAAATGTTTCAATGTGAAAAGAACCTATAAAAGGGAGGTTGGTAAAAGTGGTCAGGTTAGCCCGTGTTTCTTTGCGAATTTTGTCGTGTCCTGCCCCCTCCTCTTATAAAACTCCTTGGATGCTTGCAAATCCCTTTCTTCTGCGGCCAAGGGCTCATTCAGCAGAGAGGACACCTGAATTACATAAATCTCATCACAAAGTTACATTTCTGTACAGAGCGAGGCTTGTCAGGAGAAAGGTAATGAAGAAGAATAGCTTGGACGGAGGGGTTTAATGGTATCCAGCTGCTACTCTGTGTTGCTTGCTGATAAGACTTTGTTTTAAGTTTACAATAGAGAAAGTTTGGGAAAAAGCTAAAACTTCATCGGCAGGAAGTGCAAGTCTTTATATTTCATTTGTTCAATTTCCGCTAACTCTTGCAGTTGTGTTCATACAAGCTTTAATTTTCAGCATGTTCAGCTGTGTCACTTATGACTTAAAAAATAAAAATTAAATTGCATCCAAAAGTGTAGAGACACTGCACCTTGGGGAAAAGACACTTCACCTGCTTGGGCTCACCGCATGTTCAGATGATAAGATGAAGCCGGGAAGGCTCAGACTGGTAAATGTTCACTCCAGTTGTCCACTGTGGTTGCACTGATTGATTTCTCTGCACTTACAAAACGGTGTGTGTGTTGTAGGGGGAAGCCATTTCTTCCTAACATAGAGCAACTTTCCACAAAAGTAGACCACGAGTCTCTGAAGACTGTTAGAACTGAAGCAAACTGCGTGATGCTGAGGATCCGGGTTCCCCCGAATTCATGATGCTCTGGCTTCCTGGTCTTATGACTGGTGTGCTGGCCACCTGGCTCCTCAAGCTTGAGCTTTCCGAGGGCAGGAATGCATCGGGACAGACCGTCGCCTGGGGAAGGAAGCTAGCAGGGAGTTCTCTGTGTGAGCAGAGCGCTATGACTCTCCAAAGACAGAGCTCCCTCTGAGCAACGTGAGTGCTGCCCTCCTGCATTTACTGCGGCAGGAGCCCAGAGCGAGCAGGGCAGGAAGGCGGGATGTTCTTTCAGGCTAATGAGACCTTCCTGCCCAGAGTTCCTTCCCCAGCGGGTGGGCGGGACGGTGGGAATGGGGGCCCCTGGGCACTTTCCCACAGGTCTGGACAGGATCTCCTGCCTGGGTCCAGCCCGAGAGGAAGCTGGTATGGAGGGCGCCTGTGGACCGGCGTGGGAGGCGGGAGGGGGCAGAGACCTGACAAATAAAAGCACTGCCTTTCTGTTGAAGGGTGGAGGGCCCGGAGGTCAGTGGCAGGTACCCGTGTGCAGGCATTCGCCGCTATTGGTGCATACCTCCCAGAGCTGCCCTCCTGGGAACACTTCTCCTCGCAGGAAGCCTCCAGATACAGGAAAAGCCCATAAAGTGAAAAGGGAGGGGCTGTGCTTTCCTTCCCAGCTCCCTCTGACCAGGTCTCACATTACACATTTGCAAACTAATTACTTTGAGCCAGACATATTAAAAATTCCCCCTTACAACTAAGTGAACATAGGGAGAGTCAAGATTAGAGAACCTGGCTCCAGACTGAGATAGGGCTCTGAATTTAAAAGTCTAATTAAGGCCAATACTGCTTGCGATGTGGTCGTTCTCTCAAACACTGGCATTATTGAAATTACTCCTAACGACTTAATTGATTTAACCAATACCTCACTTAAAGATTAGGCAATGATTAGTTCAGCCTGCAGAAGCTGGAGTAGGAGGAATGATGAGGTTTTCTATAATGGTTTTGGTTATTTTTATTATTTTTTTTTTACTACATAAATTTATCTGTGAGAAATTTTGGGTCAGACAATTTTACTTTAAACAGATTCAATCAGTATCCAAAGCAGCGGAAACTGCAGCTTGAATGGGCCGAGTTCTCCATCCGAGTGGGGTTGAGTGCCGAGCATTCCCTGTCTTTCCCTCTGAGCTTCTCCGGCGAGCGAGGAGAAAGGGAAATGGCCATATTCCGTGACTCACCCTCTGGAGCAGCATTCCAAGTGTGATTTACTTAATATAGCCTCATAAATCACCTAATGCAGAAATAATCTCCAGATCTGCATGTAAACACAGCTATTAAAATACTACAATCACTCCGTTTGCTTAGTGTTCATACGGCATATCTCATCTCAAGGTGAGCAGCCTTTTCCCGAGGTGGGGCATGCAGGGCGGCGTCCGGATTACCTGCCCATCGAAGAATGCTGAACTCGGTAAAACACGGGCTCATCGGAGCGCCACAGGGCGTGCCTCACTCGGGGACCACGACACCCGAGCTGACAGTTTTCTGCTTTCAATTTGCTGTCCTGTTTGGAAATCAAATTCATGTCACTTCCTAATTGGCTGTGACACTCATTGGCGATTATTAATCACAGAAAAGAAATCCAGCTCAGGAAGAAATGTCGGCCTGCCTTCTGACTGCATTTGTTTTAAGGGTTTGCTCTGCGGCAGCCATGCGGCGTTTGTTGTTAAGCATAAGGTGAGTCAGGGGACTGGGACACATGGTGCCTCTTGGTGATGCTCACTGTTGAGTCCCAAGACTGAGCTTTGTTCAGCACGGTGATCTGTCATGGGGAGCACTCACCCTCCGATGACTACGGGTTAACAACTGTAAACCGTCTACAACTCCTAGCGTGATCCCTAACCTCTGCAAGGTGGTAATCCAGTATCGGTTGTTAGCTGTCAAATTTATTTCCCTTTGCTGAAATATACCCTGGGTTTAATTAGCAGTCATTCTAGATGCTTTATGGAGCTGAGCCCAAGCTCTGTGGCTCCGACATTTAACCCCTGACCCTTAAATATTTACCAGCTTTTAAACTGGTTGTGTACAATTATCCCTTCACGTACATCTCAGATCCATCATCCTGACCGCCGTGTCGAGCCACGTCAGATGTGCTATTCCAGCTCACGCTGCACTCACTCCCTGAAGCCAGAGGCAGAGCCGGGCCACTGCACCTCGAGCTGTGCTTGCGTAGAAGCTTCCTGGAGGAGTGGGGGGCTCTGGCCCCGGTTCCCCACAGCTGGGACTGGCAGGCAGCAGGGCTGAGTGGCTGGGGCGCCCTGGGCCCCGACTCATGTGGGGATGGCTGAGAACCGCTCATCTTCAGCTCACAACCAGGAAAGGAATCCTCTAGGAACCACTTCCATCCATTCCTCTGAAGTCAACAGCATTGGGCACGATGCGGCAGCCTGTTTTAATCCCTCTTGAGTTTCCAGGCAGGAGATGCCTGGACGGACACACTCTTGGCACACCGTCGGTTCCCACTAGGCTCCGAGTGGGCACTGAACAGACAGCCGCAGCTTCACACAGGCAGGCACGCTGACCACGGACGTCAACCAGGTTTGTGCGAACAGAACGTTCCGGGTACAGAGAGTCAGAGCCAGAAATACAGCGGCAGCCACCCACCCCCCACACCCAGCCGAGCAGGAGGAGAGGGTGCTGCTGGCAGGGACCCCCGTGTGTGGGGGCAAGCTCAGTCGTGTCCCACTCTTGCGACCCATGCATGGTAGCCCCCCAGGCTCCTCTGTCCATGGGATTCTCTAGGCAAGAACACTGGAGAGGGTTGCCATTTCCTCCTCCAGGGCATCTTCCTGATCCAGGGATTGAACTTGGGTCTTCTGCGTTGGCAGGCGGATTCTTCATCATTGAGCCACCTGGGAAGCCTGGGGGTCCCACAGCTGAGTCTAAATTACAGCCAGATGCTGGGTTCTCCCCACTTTAAGAAACCAAAGTCTGGGTTGCTTCCATGGAGAGCTTTTTTAATTTTTTTAAACGGGTCAGGCTTTTTTTGCATTCTCAAACAGGTAAAACTGCTCATTTAAGATGTTTAGGAAAATCGGGAAGGGGCAGCTGTGACGTCAGCACAGAGATGAGCACAAACGAAACGTGCTTTGCACGCACACCCGGCCCTGGGCACAGCGTCACCGCCAGTGTGAGGATGACGCGGTTCGAGGGTCACCGCAGCCGCAGGGCCCAGGACTCGCCTGCCTCTCCCCCTGCGCCCCCTCGGGAGGATTCCTCTGAGGTCGACCCTCCCTGTCCACCCGCCCCGGTCCTGGTCAGAGGCCTGCCCGAGTCTGGCCGACCCCAGGGACACCCTGAGGCCTTGGGCGGCCATGACCCCATGCCCTCCTCCTGATCCCCATCACCCTCACCCTCTGTGGTCACGCATGTCGGGCTCCCATCACAAGAGCCTTCAGGACTTGCTGTACAGACAGTTCCCTCTACGTCAAATCTCGTCCACAACTTACTCTTCAGAGCCCAGGGCGAAGGCCGCCTCCTCCAGGAAGGCTTCTGCAGCGTGATTTCCTGCCCCCCCCTTGCTGAGCGAAGCCTGGCATAGCCCGAGTGGTGGCCGCAGCCCCGAGCCTCAGAGGGCTGACCACAGCCCGTGTCTGAGCAGTCAGAGCCGTGCCCTCGGCAGACCGCCAGGGGCCACAGCAGGGCCGGGCTCTGGGACACGACGGCGTCGCTGCTTTGCTCTCAGTGGAGGCGATGTGGCCTGATGCCCCCAGGGGCCACCTGGCGTGGGGGGTGGGCACGGGGACAGTAGAGGGGGTAAGCGGCCCCGGACACCTCTGGGTGCACAGACTTCCTTACAGCTGTGGCCACTTTGACTCAACTTTTCTGTGACTTGAAGGTAGACACATACTGATTTGGGGGTAGAGGCAGGCCCGTGTCACCCTGGCCGCCTGCAGCCACCTGTGGATGTGTTGTAAGCAGAGCCCCACACCCGCATGGCCGGGCGCTGCCCAGGGCGGCGTGGGAGGTGCAGGTGATGAGCCACATGCCAGGGTGACAGCTCCTGCCCACGCCCAGGTGGGCGGCCCTTGGGCAGCGGGGTGTGGTCTCGGGCAGGCAGGCCCCTTCATGCCCCAGGCAGGCTGCGGCCACGTGGGTGGAGGAGATGGACTCCACCCTCCCGGGTCTTCCGACTCCAGGGCTGGAGGGAAAGTGCCCGAGTCAACATCCAGGCAGAGCACGTGACCAGCACCAGCTGTGAGGCCGGGGAGCCACAGGGCCGCGGGCAGCATGGGGAGTGGGGCCCCCGGGACCGCGGGGCCCCCAGGACGGTGGGGCCCCAGGACCACGGGGCCCCCAGGACCGCGGGCAGCATGGGGAGTGGGGCCCCCGGGACCACGAGCAGCCCAGGGTGCGGGGGCAGCGCCAGCACCAGCTCCCCATCCAGACTCACTCACCTCCTCGCCCTCCCTGCGGAGGCTAGGCAGCCCCCACTGGCCACCAGGCTGGGCGGGCATGGAGTGGTCTGCGTCCAAGTTCGTCTCTAAACTTACGGTCTCTCCAAGTGTGGTGTGTGGCCAACACACAAGGAAGTAACAACAGTCCCCCAAACAAAGACCCACTGCCAACTCCATGCAGAACAAGCTCTTCTACAACTGGAGGCGAGGCCGGGCTGCCTGGAGGCAGGGGGCTGGCGGCACGCAAACTCTCCATGGTGGGCCTCAGGACACGTAACGGGACAGCCGAGGGACTTACACGGGGTGTGTCTATTTCAGGACTCAACATCGCATTCTTACCACACCACACTTTTTTGCATTTACCTTGAAGTTTAGACTCATAAATGCTTGGCATGTTTTTGTCGTTGTTTGTTTAGTTTGAAATCTCCTCAAATCCCTGACAGATAATCTTCATTATCAGAAGAAATCTTTCAAAACTTTGCACCAAGAAATACAACAAAGAACACCTTTTCTCCCCACCCCCGCCCCCCCCCCCCCACCGCCCGAGGGAGCAGAAAAAAAATTAAGATTACAGCAGTGTTTTTTGTTGTTGTTGTTGCTTAGAATATTTTGGTTGGCAATTTTGGGAAAGATAATCAATGTACAAGCTGGCCCAACTGTATCTATGCAGCAAATTTTAGTGGCATTACTACATGAAAGTACATTTCAAAATAATTTTCGGCGTAAGTCCAAACACATACTTCTTTTTATAAGTAGGCTAACTTCTCTCTTGGATAATTTTGTGTAAGTAGAAGAAATTAATAACAGAATTGCACCTGTAATCTTAAAGTAACATATCTTCATATGGATTGATGATGATTACATTAAATGGCCCCTTTATACAAAATGGGAAGGGGGCCTCAGAAGACAGCTTTGGGGCTGCGCCGTTCTGCCTGGTAAACGCTGCTAAACCTCGACGTATCTACAGCGTGTCCTCTCGGTGTTTTTCCATCTTCCATCTGAGTGTCAAACAGGACTCTGGTTATGCATGGAAAGTAGAAACATTTGAAATAACGGCAGACAAACTGTTTTCACATCACAGGGCATTTCATGTCTGAGACGGAGGTAACATGTCAACGCCACCACCGGCCTCGATTTCTCTGACTCGCAGGCAGACCTTGCTCCTCTCCGCCTCTCCTTACCCTTCCCGAAGCTCACCGATGCTGCGCCTTTTACAAACAGAAGGTCTGTGGCAGCTCTGCACTGTCAGATGACGGTTAGCATGTTTGAGCAATAAAGTATGTTTTAATGAAGGCACGTTTTTTGGACGTAATGCTAACGCAAGCTTAATAGACCTCAGTACAGTGTGAATGCTACGTGCCCTGGGAAACCAAACAGTCTCGATTCGCTTTATTGTGATGTTTGCTTTATTGCAGAGGTCTGGAATCAAGCCTGCAATATCTCTGAGGTGGGCTTCTATGACAAATAAAATAAGTGGCTTACAGAAGGTCACAGACTGAATGGCAGAAAGCATGATGTGTCACATTCTCAGTTTACTATCCTTCATGCAAGACTGTATTTATGCCTCATTGGAAGAAAAGTACATTGGGATTTGTGGAAACCTTTCTCAGTGACGAACACAGATACGCAAACACACACCTGTGGCAGGTGTACACACGTAAGCACGGCTCTTCTGGAAAAGGCACATGGATCACAGCAGAAGACCATGCGGGCCCACCCTCCCCCTGGCCCCGCGGTGAGCCAGCTGGTAAACCGTGCGCATCTGCCCGGCAGCATCTCTGACCCAGGGGCTGAGCTCGGACCTGTGGCAGCCTGAGCCATCACAGAGGCCGAGACAGACGTGGCCCTGACTTGACAGATCACAGCTGCAGGGGAGACAGGCTCTGGAGGAGCAGGGGAGTGCACGAGATTTACTGGAGCGAAGGGTCAGGACGCCAAGGGCGTCCACAACCAGGTCATGAGGCCAGGTGCCGGGCGCCGGGGAGGACCTGGGGAGACGCACACTCGAAGAACTCTAGGTGCAGGGGCAGGCGGCCCTGGGACTGACCCTGGTTTTGTTGTCACCAAGTCGTGTCTCTCTGCGACCCCATGGACTGTAGCCCACCAGGCTCCTCTGTCCATGGGGTGCTCCAGGCATGAGTACTGGAGTGAGTGTCCATGCCCTACCTCGAGGGGATCTTCCCAACCCAGGGATGGAACCCCCATCTCTTGCATCTCCTGCACTGGCAAGCAGGTTCTCTACCACTGAGCCACCAGGAAAACCAGCTACTGCTTTCTGAATCCACCCAAATCCCACCTCTCGCTCCCCAGCTCTCCATGTCTACAGAGCACACTCCTTAGCTTTGCCTCGGATTCCTCCCAAATCCAGCACCAGCCCGTCTCCCAAGCAGGCACCCCACCACCTGCTCCCAGCCTCTGGGCCAGTGCCCACCTCCCTCCACCCAGAAGCCCAGGGTCCAGCTGTGGCAAAACTCTCGGTGCCCAGCACACTGGCCCCTTATAATGACCCCCGGGACCCCGAGCCCCTACCCCAGTCCAGGTCCCCTGCCCTCAGCACAGAAGCCCCTAGTGGGCGCCCGGAGCTGCTAGCACCACTTGTCCTGACAACGGCCACTTTCTGCCTTGGGCCGCTGGGCGCGTTTTCTCCGCCAGCGTGTGCCCAGCAGAACACTGTCAGCAAAGGTCTGGAGGAGAGATGGTGGATTCATTTGGGAGGCTGTCCTTGGCCAGCCTTGGAGGTCTCCGGGCGGGAAAGGTCCCTCTCAAGGCCCTCAGACAGATGCTCTTTGCCGTGGCGCATGGAACGGCAATGCTGTCAGGACCGTGATGACACAGTTTTGCAATCCCTCCTCTCAAACAAAGAACCCTTCAAAACCCTTTTCATGGAGCCAGAACAGCTCAGGAAAAGTGGGTGCTCTCTGCAAGCTATCAAGTTCGTTCTTCACAATAAGGAAGTTAGGCCTTGCAGAGCTTTCGTGCCTGAAGACGAGTGTATGTGAAATTCCACGTGCTCCCCCATAAACGGCCTTTGCGCCCCCACGGAGGAAGCCGGGCACACCCCACTTCTTCCCGACGCTCCCTGTTCACATACGCGGGCTCCCAGGCCTGCTGCTCTGAACAGAGGCGTCACCAGGCAGCAGATGGACCGCAGGGCGCCCGACAGCTTCTCCCCGCGACAGGCTGTCCCCAGAGGTGGACGTGCCCCGGACTGCGTCAGGGAAGCGGCCCTTTCTGGTCCCACCCTGGCTTCTGCCTCCAAGCTCTCTCCTGAGAAAGTCCGTGCTGGGGACACGGGCATGAAGGCCACTGCAAGGGACGCAGCGGAGCCTCACCCAGACCCCGGGCTGGCGGTTTTCAATCAACTGACGACATTGGGCTGCTTCTCGGAACTGCACCCGGGCTGGCCTGGCGCGGTGCGTGAGGCCCCCAGTCACCCGAATGCACCTGTTAATTTTGCCTCTGGGTAAACAGTTGAAAACTCCTCAGCTATTTCCTCAAATTGGGTGGAAACAAAGAAACATGAGATTTAAAAAAATGTCTAGATCAGGGAATTGGAGATGCATTAATTTAAACAGGGAACAGGGTCAAAGCAGGGGCTTGGAGGCCAATAAGTGCAGAGCGCAGAGCGGGGCAAGAGTTCACTCAATCTACCCCGAGATCTGTTCCAGGCGCGGCGGTGAGGGATTATTGGATCCAGACCTGCGGCTGCTTCCTAAGGCCGGCTCTCGCTGGTCCCCGCCCGCCCTTCAGAAACACCGCCCCCAGCCCAGCCGCTATCCAGGGATGGGGGTCTTTCAGCTGGCAGCCCCCCACGTCTGCTCGTTTCGCCGCCCCCTCCAATTCCCAGCTCTGCTGTGGGAGTCGGGCAGGACAACCACTGTGCAAACCGCAGAACACCCAAGTTGATCCAACTCGACAAGATTTTTAGTACTTTATTACACGGGAAGCCAGCCTCAGGGGTAACAGACTATAAACAACAGCAAACGCTCGGTGGGGCAGCTGCAGGAGATGGAGGGCTCGGAGATTTCCCGGAGGGGCTGTGGGAGGAGATGACCCTTCAGACGAAGCTCTTTCTTACACATCAGATGGAAAGAGGAGAGAAGAATGGAACCCCAGACACTGAGCTAAGATGTTCAGAAAACACGTGTGTGTTCCCAACAAGGAGGGAGGGCTGAGGGATTAGCTGTAATTAAGACTGTCTTCTAACCTTTTAATTATTATTAACGTGGAGACTTATAAGACTGAGAAAATATATATATATATAAATATAAATATTTTATTGCAAAAGGAAATAAGTTTTAGGTGTTTGCTGATGTCATTTAAACATTTAAGTGCATTTGGTGAACAATAACAATACTATACTCATAATAAAGGCGTTTACTGGAAATAGCAGACTTTATTAAAGTTAGGAGCTTCAGGGCAGGAATTCGCTCCTTGCCTGTGCGAGTGCAACTGTTTGCAAATACACAACTGTGGGAAGACCCCGCACTGAACGCCAGGACACAGGCCCAGAACAAGGAAGGTGGTCTGGCAAACCAGCAAGGGCGGGTTCCCCAACACCAGCCCCCAGGGCCCCCACCCGGCGCCCCCACTAAACTTAAATGACGATCATGAAGCACAACAAGAGCTGGACTGGAGAACGGCCCACAGACCACGACGGCCAATCCGAGGTGACCAGACCACCGTCTCTATAATGCCAGCATCTCCCAACCTCACGCCTCTTCCGTTTCTTATTCAGAAGTACCTTTCATTTGCAGAAATGAATGCTTTCAGACTAGAAAAAAGCGGCAGGCCACGGCCAAGCAGTGGCCACACGTGTGTGCAGTCCCCGCCACAGCCAGTCTGAACTGACCACCGTGCACGCGGCCAGCTTCTGAACAGCGAGTGCCTTAGACACGCAGCATTACCATGCCGAGCCCGAAGAGCTGCTCCTTCTGTAGGAGGTCATTTCAAGGTCATGCAGGAGACCACCGCATGTACGTGGGGCTGGGAAAGCCGTGCTCAGGGGCTATGGCAGAGCTGGGGGATGGGAGGCGACTCGCTTACTAAAAAGAACACCCCCCCCGGGCTGTCATCCCAGCAGTTCACACCCGGAGAGGAGAGGCTGGGAGAGGCAACCTGAGGCAGCGCCATCGGTTTGATTTACCATGCGAGGCAAAACACTCGAATCCTGCGTGGATCAGACCAGCATATTCATTTTAGAAAATGCCCTGAGCTGAATGGGTGACTCATGCATGTAAGGTGTGTTTTGTATTTTATTTCCCCCGCTCTGATATCAGTGCCAAAGCCCGCCCCCTGCCCTAGCCCCAGCCCCGTTCCAAGGCAGACAATGCCACCACTGTTCGTGGGGCACAGACGCTGTCCGGAGTGGAGTAACGCCGTGATGCCACGGGAGGCGGGGCGCAGGGGCTGTGTCAGCGTTTCCACTGAAAAAGGCTCAAGGATTAATATCTCAGTTGTAAAAATTCACACCCAGGGAAACTTTGATAGCAGAAACAACTCCATTCTATAAAACGGGAAAATGTACCAGAAAGCCATATTTTGAACATACACTGACTTCTACACAAACACGGGCAAGCGGGGAAGGGGACCCTCATCTGCGCACAGGGCCAAGGCCTCCTGTGTCTCACCCCACGGCCACGGCACGGCCACGGCCCCGCGGACAGCAGCACGCCAGGCCTCCCTGTCCCTCACTCTCTTCTGGAGCTTGCTCAAACTCACACCCACCCAGTCGGTGATGCCATTCGACCATCTCATCCTCCGTCGTCCCCTTCTCCTCCCACCTTCAATATTTCCCAGAATCAGGGTTTTTTCCAATGAGTCGGTTCTTCTCATCAAGTGGCCAAAGTATTGGAGTCTCAGCTTCAACATTAGTCCTTCCAGTGAATATTCAGGGTTTATTTCCTTTAGGATTGACTGGTTTGGTCTCCTTGCTGTCCAAAAGCAAAGAGGCCACACACCAAATTGGGATTTCAGTTTTTAAAATTCAGCTTTTGTTGTTGTAAAAACCCGCAGACGCTGCCTCATGTTGACCCTGTCCCCTCCAGCACCATCCGTCCTTGAACAACAATGGTTCCCGAGACGAGGGCGAGGGGCTTCTCTCCCAGGGGGCTGGAGCAGCGTCTGGGGGCGTCTGTGGTTGACGCCCGGGATGGGGCGCGCCACTGTGGCTGAAGCCGGGGTGCTGCTGGACGGGGCGGGCTGGACCCAGGGCCCAGGACTGTGGTGGGGGCGAGGTGGGCTCTGCTGGGCAGCTACCCCCGAGCCCCGGGGGCTGTCCTCACTGGGGCCCTGGCTCCGTGTCCTGGACCCAGGGCAGCTGCACAAACCCCTCTTCCTGGGTCCTGAAGTCACGCCTGCATCTTCTGTCTGCACTGACTGGAGAGGGGGGCCGCCCTGGACCAGTTACTCAGACTCTTCCCTGATCACACTGTCCTGGTAAGGGTGGCTTTCTTAAAAGCACAGAGACAACCAGCGGAAAGGAAGAAAGGGCGGTGAGAAAGCAGTGACCCTGTGCTGGTCCGACACCGCGTTTGTTTTCATTGGAGGGAGGCTGACACTCTGTGGGGCCTGAGCTCACCGGAGTGAGAATCTCCCACTTGCTTTGCTCATCCCTGAGGCACACAGAGACAACACCCGATTATTTGCCTACTGGTTGGTCAGAGATCTCCGTTCCCTGTGGCTGGGAAGACGCAGGGACCCCATGTGCCCTGAGGACCCACAATGGGGAATGGGGAGGAAGCACCCAGGAGGCCCCAGGAAGGAGGAGGTCCGGCTACAGCCGTGGCATCAGCATCTGCTCCAGGGTCGCCCCTGGCTAAAACCATCAGCCCCGCGTTCCGGGGGCAAATGGCACATCCTCAAGTTCCTCACCTCTCCGCTGAGAGGAAGACCTACTTACAGAGAGAAGACAAGGGCGGGAGACCAGGGGTGGGCAGAGGTGGCGGGGGTCCCGTCCAGAGGAGGGCCTGAGCCCTGGAGGCATGGGTGCCCCACATGTGGGGACAGCACCCCCAACATGCCCCTGCCTGGGGAGGGCACGACCACTTGTGTCTGTCATCGGGGTCGTCATCACGAGGGAGGGGCAGATAAGGTCACACGGCAGAGGAGAAAGAACTTCAGGGTGACCCTGTGAGGCTGGATGTCTTTCTTTGTGTTGTGCGGGGTCTTCACTGCCGCTCCAGGCCCTTCTCTAGTTGCGGTGAGCGGGGGCAAAACTTTGCTGTGGTTCGTGGGCGTCTCCAGGCAGTGACATCTCTTGTTGCGGAGCATAAACATCTGTCTACACTGTGTCCCTGTGTCCATCTCTCGACTCCAAAACTTCCCACGAGAGCCCCACGCCACACAGGGAACACGCAGCGCGGCGGCGGGGGTAAACCTTGGGCACCCAGCTGCCTCGGGGCAAGTGCGCGTCTTGGAGTGTGGCCAGCAAGGACGCGTGTGTCCGCTGTCGGGGCCACAGTGAGAAGCCAGCATCTCCTGACGCTAGTGCACACAGGGGCTGGACGTGAGAGCCTTGTGCGTAACTCCCCGGCCGGGCGCCCGACACAGACAGCTGCGCTCTCCCCGCCTGTGGCTGTGGCCCGCGCCCACGGGGCCGGCTGGTCCCCCTGCACGAGGCGTCTGCGCCACCGCCCACACTGCCGCGTCAGGGTCATCCTCCCAGCAGCCACACGTGCCAGACGCCACCCGAGACCAGGCCGCGCCGGAGCGCCTCCTGAGCACCCCGGAGCTCACGGTCACCAGTGTCCGTCTTTCAGGGTCTGCAGCTGCAAGGAGCCACCCCACCGCCCCCCAACCTGGGCGCCGCTGGCGGCCGCCCAAGGGAGACACCCGTGGCCCATCGGACAGCACACGGCGGAGCAGAGCGGCTGTGACTCCCGACGGGGCCTCCAAGGGGCTGTCACTCCCAACGGGGCCTCCGTCCCGGGTGGCCTTGAGGAGCAGAGTCAGAATCTGGGTAAGGGCGACACCTCTCCCCGGGGCCCAGTGCTTCCCCACAGCAGGGCGCGAGGAAGGGGCTGCTCACTCCCTGAGTCTATACTGAGCTGAAGGACAGAGATTCCTCAAAGCGATGGAGAGAGCAAAACCATTATAGACTGTTCACGAGTTTCTAATTCCTCTCAGAGTCTAAGGAAGGGAAGAACTGACGCCCTCCCCGGGACGCAGACGCTGCGCCTCATGAAGGAGTGACCATGCGTGGCCACACGAGCGCTTGAGCCCCTCGGCAGATTGTGCTGTGTGGACACACTGCGGCGTCTGCTGAGAGATCAGACTCTGCCGCTGAGCTACGGGGCAGGAAGAGGCCCAGGCCTCAGGCAGACGGAGGGAACCACACCAGGACACTCAGCGCCCAGGAGCCCGCAGGGCCGCACTGCCCTCCACTCTCGGGAGATGCTGAGCAGTCAGCAGCGCCGCTTCCTGCAGTCAGACGAGGCCAGTGGGCACCCGGGCACCCTGCGTGGAC